ATTTTTGAAGATTGTAGGTTGCAGGGAAGCAATAACATCTAAGAGAGTTTCACAGGCGAAAAGTGTGTGAAAAGAAACTATTAGAACAGGGGATACGGTTACATCCAGCTAGTTAAACAGTAAAACGATGAGACCTATTTACCAATTCAGTACTGCGCTTAAATTCATTCAGTCGAAGCTCATCAGAACAATTTCCATGAAAATATTTGTAGAAAAATCCACAATTTTGTATTCAAAGTTACCCTTTGCCTAAACTGGTTGACTTAACAATGGTAGAAAGTTTATTCTACTCTACTATTTAGCCTATCACTAGAATTATAAAATAGATTAAAACCGGAAAGAGTTACCGGACTTGCGAAATTCATTTTCTTGAAAATTTCTTTTAAGAGAAAGATTTTATAAATTTCAACCGAGAGTAGTACTGACTGCCCGGTCAATGAAACCTGAATGTTTTCTTATAAGGAAACGGATACTATTCCCATTATCATTAGTGTAGGTAAATAACAACAGTCTCGGCTGTAGATGGTAGGGTGGTCATCAATCAGGTCGTTTCAGGGCGTGACCGAGCCAGGATGGGGTGCGTAAACTCAACCCGACCAAAGTTTATAGATAGATTCCAAGTAGAGACACGATTAATAGCTAACGATAGACTCAGTTGTAAATGTTTTTAAAAGTTTACTAAGAAACCCAATTATGGAAACGATGAGTGTTTTCATATAGATTCAAGTATAAACTCAAACAATATTTACATATAGATTCAACTAGAGACCGGATCAATCTGTAGATTTAACTGCAAACCCGAATATATTTATCTACAGACTCAAGTATAAACGCGATTAATGGTTATCTATAGACTCAAGTATAAACGCAATTAATCGTTATCTATAGACTCAAGTATAAACGCGATTAATAGTTATCTATAGACTCAAGTATAAACGCGATTAATAGTTATCTATAGACTCAAGTATAAACGCGATTAATAGTTATCTATAGACTCAAGTATAAACGTGATTAATAGTTATCTACAGACTCAAGTATAAATGCGATTAATAGTTATCTATAGACTCAAGTATAAACGCGATTAATAATTATCTATAGACTCAAGTATAAACGTGATTAATAGTTATATAGACTCAAGTATAAACGCGACCAATAGTTATAAATTCAAGATTATTTTAGTTATCTACAGACTCAAGTATAAACGCGATTAATAATTATCTATAGACTCAAGATAAACGTGATTAATAGTTATCTAAGACTCAAGTTTAAACGCGATTAACAATCTATAGACTCAAGTATAAACGCGATTAATAGTTATCTACAGACTCAAGTATAAACGCGATTAATAATTATCTATAGACTCAAGTATAAACGTGATTAATAGTTATCTACAGACTCAAGTATAAACGCGATTAATAGTTATTTATAGACTCAAGTTTAAACGCGATTAATAGTTATCTATAGATTCAAGTATAAACGCGATTAATAGTTATCTACAGACTCAAGTATAAACGCGATTATTATCTATAGTTATCTATAGTTATCTATAGACTCAAGTATAAACGCGATTAATAGTTATCTATAGACTCAAGTATAAACGCGATTAATAGTTATCTATAGATTCAAGTATAAACGCGATTAATAGTTATCTACAGACTCAAGTATAAACGCGATTAATAATTATCTATAGACTCAAGTATAAACGTGATTAATAGTTATCTACAGACTCAAGTATAAACGCGATTAATAGTTATCTATAGACTCAAGTTTAAACGCGATTAATAGTTATCTATAGACTCAAGTATAAACCCCACTAGTGTTTAAAAAATAACCGATTTAGTGATAACATAACTGGGTGAATGATCTGTGAAATAATTAAGTGCGGCAGAGGCAGCGCATTTGTTTTCTAAATGCAACGTTCATTTTAATTTTCAGGGCAATTAGCGAACAATTTTTTGTCCTTTTTTCGTTTTTATTTCTCTTACTTGAATATGATTTTAAATAAATAAAAAATAAACATGCCAAAGAATGGAAATAAAATATAAAAATAAGGTAAAAAGATATTTATTTTGAAGAATCCACTTTTGCCTACTTTTTTAATCATTTCATCCCAAGAAAGGCAATAAAACCACTAAGATGCAAGGAGTGGTGAAGACATATAAGAAAAATACTATTAAGAAAAGAGAAAAATAACAGAACAAGAAGTAAGAAGACAGAAAATAACGATTGACATTGCATTTAAACTTTTAAAGATCAAAGTTGACTGGAAAGGAAGAAGTCAGAAGAGAGTGCCACAAGCGAGAAGTGCGATAGAAGAAACTGCTAGCATAGAACTTACGGTTATATCTAGACATTTCAACTGCAATATTACGAAGGCTTGCATCCAATCAGTGCTTAAATTCATAAAGTATAGGTACCATACAGGAAAGTTCACCAGAACAATTACAAAGAAAGTATTTATAGGGAAAGCACAAGGAACCAACATTACGACAGTGGAAAAATGTTTGAAGCTGAGGTGTTAGGTCACGACCTATAACATTGCAGATTCTTCTTTAGACCAAATATAGCAGCAATATTCAAAGCAAGGATGAATGGTAGACTCATAAATATCTAGGATAGTTTCTGCGAGAGAAATTATCTAGTACGGTGTAGGGTAACGACTTTCTTAGCAGCAAAATCCAACATCGCATGATGGGGTTTTGATAATATTAGTTCTCCTATCTTAACAGTGGATTTCCCGACAAATGAAGAGGAGAACTTAGGCAACAGAGATGTGGTTCTACAGAAGGATACAGAGAATGCCATGGACGAAGCATCTGAGCAACTAGGAAATGTTAAAGGAAAATAGAAAAGGAAAGAAGCTAAACTTTTTTTAGGCACATAATGAGGAAAGAAGGCTGAGTAAACTGGACACTCAAAGGATATAGTGAAAGCTCAATGAACAGCGGAAAACTGCGAGTAACCTACTTAACGAACTTGTGTAAATGTATAGCGGAACAGAAGAGAGGGTTTAATAAAGGGACTTTGTTTAGAGCTATAAAGGATTGATCGTTCACGACCTGAAGATAGATGAAAGATGTTACAACAATAAAAAAAAATTCCAGATAAAACTTAGACATTTTTTTGGTTAAGTTTTCATATTGGTTCGTGTCATAATGTTTAGAATAGAGAACCTTTTTACCACTGTGGATATCTTGAAATAGTTTTCACGTCTCAGGGAACAACTGCATAAAAATTAGTATATATACCATTATTAATATCTGTCTCTTTTATATATTTATCGCAGTTCATTTGATAAACATAATATATGGACACTGTGAATGCGTCCCTGTACTCGAGTGAGTCAGTGAACCCGGTTTCACATTGACGCCATGACAGACATCGCAAAATACATTCCCTAGGATTATTATAATTTTAAATAAGGTAAGCGGTTGAAGACTTTATTATAATAAAACAAGGACTTTTCAATATGTCGTACTTTTTCTTTTTAAAAATCATTTCACAATCTAGCATGGCGGAAAGTGATAGACAAGACTGAATATAAAGAAGATTGACAAAAGATGAATGGGATTCGAGATAGAAGATGGCGATTGACGTTGCATTTAAATTTTTGAAGATTGTAGTTACGAGGAAAGCAAATAAACGGAAGCGAGAAAAGAAACTTTTGGGGTAGGAGTGGCAGTTGTATTTAGCTATTTCAATAGAAATCGGGTTGGACCTAGATGCCAATCTAGTGGTACGCTTAAATGTAGTCGGGACACCAGTGAGAGCAGTTGCCATGAAAATATTTGTACAAAAGACAGAGGGTATTCACACCACGTTGGTGAGAAAAAGACTGAAGTCGACATGCCAAGCCAGAATCGATTACATTACAGATCCTTGTATAGATTTTGTCAGGAACACCAGACCATCAACAGTATTCAGTGCACGGACGAATGGTAGATTTGTAAATGTGCAAGATGGCCCCTGACGAGAAAAAATTGTGGCACGATACAGTGACCCAACTTGCTTTGCGGGTATAGTAAATTTACGAATATAAAATTTTTAAAAAATTACTAAAAAATTAATTACCCTATTAATCACTGTTTTTTTTGTGGAACTCTTAGCGCCCTCTTGCGGAAACCTAGGGTACCGCGGAACACCGGTTGAGAAACACTGTTTGAGAACGTTCGCCTTCAAGCCACTGGAATCTCACCATGGTCGCTTTTGTCAGGGATGTGACTTTTTGATAATATCGGCCTGAGAAGACGGTCCAAGCGCAGCAAGTTTTAGAAGTGCCTGAAAACCATATCATGCCTAGCGAAACTGAGTTGACGGAACCGTTTGAAAGACGTCCATGGTTGTGCTAGCATGAAGTAACAAGTCATCGTGACTGAGGGTTTGAGTATGCTGGTGGCCTTGCTAAAAAAAAAAAAAAAATTGATCACGCCAGATTATGCGTTCTCTCCCAGAAACTGTAACTAAGGTCTGCTCAGCAGAGTTGCAGTATAAACCATGAGTGGGCTCTGTGGGTTGACCGGGCGTCTGTAGTAGGGATTAGCTCGCCGCCCTGGTAGAGGAGTGCGGCCCGAGTAGTAGTCGGTCGTACATACTTCTGCTTTATATGCCGTGTCCCACCAAGACGTAGGCGATCATGAGCCCCCCCCCACATCTACCTGTTCCTTGTAGTTCTAAATGTTATTTTTTTTGTTATTTTGCCCGCTGTTTTCCCTGTCCCTTAATCAATCTGTCCTGTGAGTATCAGATTTTCCAAGCCCTCCTTCCACATTACGTTCCCCATACATACTTGAATGTTCAAAATATAAATGTTATTTTTTGTTTTATATTTATTCTGCTTATGAAGATATCGATACTTTCCTTGTCCTGATTTTAGATTTCTCCAGCGATAGATTTCAGACACATTTCTTTCGTTAAGCGCGTCAGCGGAAAGAACTCCTTCTAAATATATAGAAACCCAATGCCACATATATATATAGCAGTTCGTCTTTCATGTGGGACACTTAAGACGCTAAACTCAGGCGCGAAGAGTTGCGTAGAATTTGTTTCGTGTAGTCATTGGCAACTAAGAAGGAGAGACGGGTAAATTCTTGATTATTGGATGCACGCCAGGCTCGAGTTGGCACGTCAGCTTAAGAAGGTTTCAAAGCGTGAAGAGGCGAGCAGAAATCTTTCGCAACTTATGATACGTTTACAAATATGATCGCTTCATACATGACGACATTCAATAATTTTGGTAAATAGAAAGTTAAGACGTGGAAATCATGGCTGCCGGGTCATCAAACAGAAACTCTATAGAGAATAGATTCATTAAAGTAGTAGTAGTAGTAGTAGTAATAGTAGAAGAAGAAGGAGGAGAGTTTGAAGAAGACATAGCATTATTAGTAAAAGAAAAAAGGAGGAAGAAGTAATATTAGGAGCAACAGAAGAAAAAGAACATGGATTTAATAGTAGTAGTAGAAGAAGTAATAGTAGTAAGAGTATCAATAATAGTAGAAAATGAGGAAGAAGAAGTAATAGTAGTAGCAGCAGTAGGAGAAAAAGTAGAAGAAGATAAAGTAATAACAGTAGTAGAAAAAGGAGGAGCAGAAGTAGTAATAGTAATAGTAGAAGACGGAGAATGAAAGGTAGAAATAGTAATAGTAGTAGTACTAGAAAAAAAAGAAGAAAAAGAGAAGGAGAGGCAACAGGAGCAGTAGTAGTAGTAGAAGAAGAGAACGTAAAAATAGTAGCAGCAGCAGTTGTAATAGTAGTAGTAGTAGTAGTAAAAGTAGATGAAGGAGGGACAGAAATGTAATAATAATAGTTACAGTACAGTACTAGAAGAAAAAGAGGATGGAGAGGCAGCAAAGAGAAATAGCAGTAGCAGTATTAGTAGTAGAAAAAAGTAGTAGTAGTAGTAGTAGTAGTAATAGCAATATATATATATATCCTTTATATATAAAGTATATATATATATATTTATATATATATATATATATATATATATATGCTACTCTATTATAGTAGTAGTAATAGCATTTATATATATATATATATATATATTATATATTATATATTCGTCTTGTTTTAGTAGTAATACATATATATATATATATATATATATATATATATATATATATATTATATATGCTATTACTACTACTAATACTGCTTTTCTCTTTGCTGCCTCCATATTTTTTTTACAAATAACTTTTCAGAAAATATATATATATATATATATATATATATATATATATATATATATATATTAATTTATTGCTTAAAAGTTATTTGTAATGGATGCCCAAATTTGAGTAGGTGCGCTGTTTTTATTTATTTATTAAATAGTATACCGTATATACTCGCTTATCATGTGACCATTGAAGACCTAATTTCGAAGCTAATTTTAAGGGGGTCGCATCATACATGAGATATAAAATTAGCGTATGTACTGTTGACCCTGTCTATGCCGTTGACCAAACTATATATCCATTTACTGTAGTTAATTTAACTTCAAAATTAAGTCTTCAAATGTCGTATGATGCACGAGTATAGACGGCATTTATTTATTTTCATTTAACGGACTCAATATTCGTGAAATCTTGTTAGAAAAATATGCGCCCCCGCCCCGGGCAAACTTGTATTAATGATAGATAGCGAAATGCTTGCGACATTGCGTCTGAGGGGAAACGGTTGTAGGGTGGGAAATAATTCTACTAAATCCATTAACTCTTTAGAAAATGTTTTGTTTATTTTTTGGATAAGAAAAAGATATCGTTTTCGAGAAAAAAAAAAAAGAAGACAAAAAGAAAACGTTGCTCTAAGGCAAATTGAACCTTGCATGCCGGATTAGACGGTTCTTCCTACGAAGGCGGACTCATGTTCGAATCCTACCGGAGAGCATATATTCTTGATTAAGTTTTCTTGAATATACAGTCCGGTAGACGAAATAAACACTGTTTAAAAAAATGGGATGTTCTGCTCATATACGGGTATCCATTAAGGTTTGAAGGATTAAAAATAAAAATTCACTAATTCTTTATAAATTTACATTATATATATATATATATATATTCAGTCAGTTATGTGGCATGCGTGATACACGCGTAGGCGATCATGTATCTTTCGACGAGGCCAATTTTTTCACACAGTAGGTTGCCATTTCTTTCTGCAGTAGACCAGTTGCCATCCAAGCTTATAGAACGCGGTCTGTCCTGCTATTTACTCATAGCAGGGGGGAAAGAAGAGGATTCATACCTTTCCCAAGGGTATTAGCACATAAGTGAATGTAATGGATTCGACTGGAATTCGAACACGGCTCTCCGATTCCTCAATCCGACCCGCTGTCCATTACTCCACCGTATAATTATTACTCTTTGTTTTAAAGACTATTGTTATTTACTAAATTTAGCTTATGACAGTACAAGCCAAAAAGTGAAGGTCACCTTGTGAGAATCGAACTCAAAATATTAGCATTATTGTTCAACGAGACTAGCTTGTTAACCATTACTTCAATGGCGTCTCCCCCAGGAAATAACTATTCCACTCAATTTAGAACTTTGGTATAAAGAACAATACTAGCGAAATGCAATTTTCTTATCTTTTACAAGCTCACCAGCCCCATTGGGACTGAACTTTGAAAATTAATTTAGTGCCATACCATGTTGAATGCATCAGTTTTCATCAGATCAACGAAGTTATGCAGGGTCAAGTTTGGTTAGTAGTGAGAAGGTGACCATTTAGTAATAACAAGAGTACTAAGCTTAAATCGGGTTGATGGATCTATTCAACTTGGGTGGGGAAGAAGTTCAACTAGGAGAAGCCACTCTGCTCGCATTCCAGATCATACGGCCCCCCCGCCCTTACTAAGGCGGACGCATGTTTGAATCCTGCTGGAGAGCAATTATGCTTCATTAAGTTTTCTTGAATACGCAGACTGGTAGAAGAAATAAATACTGTTTACAAACCCAATCGCCAAACCCAATCATGAACAAGGCCAGACTGCTCAAACCCTCCATCGTGATGTCAGATGAATTCGTATTAACACAATCATCGACTGCTTTTGTATTGTTCCGTCTCCTAATTTAACTCACAGGGCTTGGATCAACCCTTGCGTGATTTTTCAAACATTTTACAACGGTTCTACACCCTGCAATCGTTTACCGAGGTCGACAGCATGAAGAAGTCCTCTCTCTGAAAAATCGACGATAATGAGATTTGAACACGGGTCCATATTGGGTCAATAAGTGTTGTGTACAAAGATGGCCGACCTTCTCTACGTTACTTGTTGAACAACCTGTACGAATTACTGTAGAGTCTGCAAAGAGATGTGTGATCTGTCGTTGTCCTTTTGGAATTCGGCACTCTTCAAATTAACCAATTCCAAACGTCTTTCATTTGAAGTTAACGAATTAATATCTACTCTCCTGTATGGCAGTGAATATTGGTCAGTCTCCTCACACAGAGACGTTGTTCTACAGACAGATGTGCTTAGAAAAGAAGAAAAGTAGGCTGTATTGCGATGTTATATGTAATTTTCTATATTGCAGTGAGTGTTGGACCAATCTCCTCACATATGAAGAAGAGACGTGATACCATAGAGATGTTGTTCTGTAGACAGATGTGCTTAGAAAAGAAGAAGGCTCTACTGCGATGTAATATCTAATCTTCTATATGGCAATGAACGTTTGGCAACCTCACTACAGTTGAAGAAGGTACTTGAATTAACAGAATTCTGTTCTACAGAAGGATGCTGAGAATAACATTGACAGAACATGTGAGCAATGAGTAAGTTTTAAGAAAAATAGGAACTAAAGGGAAACCGATTCTTGCAATCCGAAAGAAACATGCATGGGACACACAAGAAAGAAAGAAAGAAAGAAAGAAAGAAAGAAAGAAAGAAAGAAAGAAAAATGGAAGACTATAGTAAACGATCTTTCCTTCCTATTTTTACACACTGCAAGAGCAAGAATAAAAGAAAGAAAGAAAGAAAGAAAGAAAGAAAGAAAGGGGGCTGGAATAGAGAAATTGTATGGGACACATAAGAAAAAGATAGATAGATAGATAGATAGAAAGAAAGAAAGAAAGAAAGAAAGAATGAAATGGAAGACTACAGTAAACGGTTTTTTCTTCCTATTTTTACACACTGCAAGAAAAAGAAAAAAAGAAAGAAAGAACGAACGAACGAACGAAAGAAAGGCTGTTGGAATAGAGAAAATGTATGGGATACACAAGAAAAAGAAAGAAAGAAAGAAATGGAAGACTACAATAAACGGTCTTTTCTTCCTATATTTTTACACACTGCAAGAGAAAGAATAAAAAAAGAAAGAACGAACGAACGAACGAACGAACGAACGAACGGAAGAAAGAAAGAAAGAAATAAAGAAAGAAAGAAAGAAAGGGGGTTGGAATAGAGAAAATGTATGGGACACACAAGAAAAAGATAGATAGATAGAAAGAAAGAAAGAAAGAAAGAAAGAAATGGAAGACTACAGTAAACGGCTTTTTCTTCCTATTTTTACACACTGCAAGAAAAAGAAAAAAAGAAAGAAAGAACGAACGAACGAAAGAAATAAAGGCTGTTGGAATAGAGAAAATGTATGGGATACACAAGAAAAAGAAAGAAAGAAAGAAATGGAAGACTACAATAAACGGTCTTTCCTTCCTATATTTTTACACACTGCAAGAGAAAGAATAAAAGAAAGAAAGAACGAACGAACGAACGAACGAAAGAAATAAAGAAAGAAAGAAAGAAAGAAAGGGGGTTGGAATAGAGAAAATGTATGGGACACACAAGAAAAAGATAGATAGATAGATAGATAGATAGAAAGAAAGAAAGAAAGAAATGGAAGACTACAGTAAACGGTTTTTTCTTCCTATTTTTACACACTGGAAGAGAAAGAAAGAAAGACAGAACGAATGAACGAACGAAATAAATAAATAAATAAATAAAGAAAGAAAAAAAGCTGTTGGAATAGAGTAAATGTTTCTGGAAACTAAACAAAATTTTAAGACAGGCAAATATCGTTAGAACAAAAAAAAAACAAAACAAAAAAAAGACAAAAAAATGTGTAATGTTTAATCTCCTGCGTGGTACTAGATCCTGGGCAGTTTTCTTACCAAGAAAAAAGAACCACGGAGCGATATAGATGTGGTTTAAGCTTCAATATAAATATTCCCGCAGAATAATGATCCATCTTTTTACATCGGAACATTCAGCAGAGTGAAAATATTTGGGAAGTTTGGTAAAACATTGAGTCTTTTATAATCTTAGACAAATACTTCATTTCAAATCAATCGATTTAGTTTGTCTTGAAATGCATCCAAAGTAGCGAAAAGGATTAACATTGTTGTTTGAAGCATATTTAAAAACATGAACAAAACAATCAAACATGAAAAGAGAGTTGTATCCAACCTTTAAGATGTGTTTTTTTTTTTAAACAAAAAACAAAAACAACCCAACAACATTGATTTATTAATGATGTGTTTTGCTTTTCCGTTTCTGCTTTATGTGAAATTTGAATCGAGTGAAACGTGAATATCTTTCTTTTCGCAAAGATGCATTAGAAGCGTGTTTTGTAACAAATAAACCAGGAAATTTTCTTTTTCTCTTAACAAAATCAAATTAAAATCGATAATAAGTAGGTTGGAGTGGAAGATACAGGAAGCATAAAATCGGAACCAGGGATAATAATAATAATAATAATAATAATAGCTTAATATACCTGAAATCCTAACAACAAAAAACGAAGCGAATACCATCTATGCCAGATGAGTAAAAAAGAAAGCAAAATAACTTGGCCAAATAAAATTACAAAAAAACTAAGTGAACAAGGCGTTGCATGGCAAATACATAAAAAGAACGAAAGAAGCCGATATGGACCAACAGACAACACATCAGTGGCTGACGAGCACTGGGTTGAAGGCTGAGACAGAAGACCTAATTAATGCAGAACTGGACCAAATCCTTGCAACTAGATCCTATCAAGGATAGAACTAGCCCGAAATGCAGGATCTTCGGGAAATATGATGAAACTGTCAACCATATTATTTCAGGATGTCTGGAACTAGTAGCAAAAAGTGAATATACCTGCAAACATAACAAGGTAGCGACATATGTGCACTGGAAGATATGCAAGGAGCACAAAATCGAAACCACTGAGAGATGGCATGAGCACCAACCAGACACATTTACCCAAAATAACGATGTAACTATCCTCTGGGACATGCCAATTTAAACTGACAGGGAGATAAAAGCCAACAGACCTGATATTATCATAAAAGACAAAAAATCAGGTACCATATGAGAGAAACACTTCCATAAGAATATATCGGGAAATTGATCAAATACAAGGATCTGGAGATCGAGATTAACAGGATGAGGGGAATGAGGACTGAGACTGTACCAATAGTCATCGGAGCTCTGAGCCTCGCGAGAAAAGGAATGGATGATTTTACTAACAGTGTCCCAGGTAACATCAACATGCAAGATGCCGAGAAGATCGCCTTACTAGGACATCCCAATTACTAAGAACAGTGTTATCAATTAAATATCAATTCTCCTTATAGTTTGGACCCGGCCATACAGGATACAAAGCAGGAAAGATAACATACATAAATAATAATAATAATAATAATTATTATTATTATTGTTAACCTCCATATAAGCCGAGAGGCATTTGGAAGAACACAATATATGTCCTATTGCAAAAATTTGTCGTACGAGTTATCATGGCTGTAAATTATATATATGCATATTATAATTTATAAGCAACTTATCTTTGTAGTCATAGGAACCCGTGCGATGAGCTTTGTACAATAGGATTATTGTTGAAAGTAGTCACACCAAGCATAAAAATCTCAGTGTAGTATGGATAGACCAAAAAAAGAAAAAAAAAATGAAGCCTTCAGCAGCATGCACCACTTGTAAGGCTATTGAAGTATAAAAAACCGGTATCAACCATTGTGAATTTCTTCCGATATCATATGTCATTCTGGAAGACAGATCAATTATTTTCGTATTCTAATGGTTGGTTCCTAAGTAAAGACATGAACATTAAATGCAGATCTTTTTCAAGGGTACCCTTTATCCTCTCTTCTTTTTTGTCTGGCTTTAATTCTTTCACCAAAATTATTAAAAAATACAGAATAAGGGTATAAAATTGAAGAAAAAAAGATAACATGATTTATTTTATATGGCTGACTTGGCATTATAGGGAAGGAATGGTGATGAATTGGAAAAGCTTTTAAAGACTACAAAAAGTTTCAGCGATGATACGTGCATGAGAATTGGGCTAGATAAATGTGCATAGGTCATCTTCAAGCGAAGAATGCTTATTAGTAGCAAGAATAATCATTGTTGTGATGAAGAAACTCGATTAGAAAGGTACAAGTACAAGAGTGCAGGGGAATAAGATATTCGAAGATGAAAGAAAAAATCGGAAAGGACTGCATCAGGTGAGAAAAAAAACTGAATTGAATTCGAAAAATATAATAACGGTTATTAACTCTTGAATTTACAATTGTAAAATATAGCTTCAATATGATAAATTCGAACTTAAATAAATTCAATAAAATTGACGCAAACAATTCACATGCAATAGAATACACCACCCGAAAGCAAATGTTGACCGTCTGTATCTGCCAAGTAGCAGTGGGAGTAGGGACATGTTGCAACTAGAATTGTCTTACAAAATTTCAACAATGAGATTTATAAGTATCTTGCAGCTATACAAAATTGGATGTTACAATTCGTAATGGAGCGTGGAAAAAGTAAATAGCTTTACTCTGTAACAAAAGAAGCATATAAATATGCAAGAGAATTTGGGTTCCATCTTGAAAATAGCTCTGAAGTAGATACTACTGCTACAAAATCAGCAAGAAAACTGAAACAAGAAGCGAAAACAGCTAGACCGAAAACGAAAGACTCCAGTTCCTTTACCGAAGCAAAAATGCTGAGGTACAGGGTAGTCCAAAAGTCTTGTTACCCCTACATAATATAATTTTCTATTTCAAATGGCTGGCACGAAAATGATGTTCATGCTGACCTTCTCTTTGTGTGACAGCGTCAATTAAAGTGAACGAATTGAATCCAGTACGTGTACTTTGTATTACTGTATTACTTATTCTCAGTACTTTTTGGTATGGGGTGACAATACTTTCGGACCACCTTGTTGATCAGATTCGCAATTTACCAGTGGCTAAGGAGTTCAGGACTTAAGGGTGAGACTGAAAGGTTTATTCTTGTCGCACAGTACCAGAGTCTGATGACACACAACTACAATTTTAATAGTCCAAAAGCCCAAAATATTGTTTGTGACTAAATACAGAGAAACTACTGATCGTCTTATCTCAGGACGCTCAATAGTCATAGCCAAGGAGTACCAAGGAGTACCCGTCATAGCAGGGTAAGTCAATACATGCGTTGGAAGATCTATCATCACTACGGAATAAAACCAGCTACAAACTTGTATGAACATCACACTGAATCTGTATCTGATGGAGAGAATCCTCTATAGGATTTTTCTATCACCGCAGATCGAAAAGTACAGGCAAATTGTCTAGACATTATTATCAAAAACCAAAAATAAAAACAAGAAGAAAAAAAATCTGCACACATATTAATATGAGCGTACCTAGTGACAAAAGCATTTCTGAAAAGGTTTTTGAAAAACTAAGCAAATAAAAGACCTGGAGACGGAAACAGAATGTGGCACTTTAAAACTTTTAAGATTCTTCCTGTTGTCGTTGGAGTTTTGGGTCTGATAAAGAAAGAAACTCAAGAACAGATCAATAAAATCTCTGGTGCATCATCTCTCCAGGAAATCCAAAAAATGGTTCTAACAGGTACAGTTCATATCCTGCGAGGGAGCTTTGTAAATTTGCTTTTTTTGTTAATAGCTATCCTTTGTTTAATTAAGTGGAAACAACAAAAAAAATCACATCGTTCGCTTGTCGTAGGTCATTGGCTGTGACTCGACACGTGATTTTAAAACAAAAATAGATCAAAAAGAATTTTTATACTACTACGACTAATAATAATAATAACAATACCCTGATGCTACGAAAGGCATGGGTCTCATATGCCTTCTGATCTCAATTGATGTTAACATGTAAATGTTTTTTTCTTGGAGAATTAAAATCAGGCTACACTAAGCAACCAGTTCAGTACCAGAGATTTGCTTGTCAGTTGCCTGATCTCAACCAGTTCGTCAGGACCATTAGGAGACTGGCGCACTGGGCGTCTTTGTAAGCGTGAGTAGTGGAGTTTGGAGCATTATGACGAGTATCGAGAGGGTTGTTTGAAAGACTAGGCAGATAAAGTGACTGTCTTGGGTAATTAAAGATAGGCTACAGTAAACATCCAATTCAATACCGCAGATTTGCTTGTCAGTTGTCTGAACCATTTGAGCCTGTCCCCTAAGGGCTGACGCACTGTGCATCTTTATTCATGAAGCATCATGACTGGGTGTTGAGAGTTTTTTTTTAAATTTTGAAGAGTGAGGCATTCAAAGTGAATTTGAAGACACGTCTAGATATTCAGAAATATCCACAATCGGATTATTCGAAGAGAAGATTTTTCTAACTGAGCTCCACCTACATGTTATGTGCTGCCTTTATCAAAACCTCTGACCATTTTGTGCATAGTTGGGTATGAGATATGTGCCTTGTCACATTGTGGGTCATGATGGGAACATTGGGACTGGTATATTTATCCCCCAGCGCCACAATGTTGACGTGTTTCTCTCTAACTCATGATAATAATAATAATCATTTCTTGGCTTCGCAAAACGAAGATCACGAGGGAGTCTATACACGTCGCTTGCAGGTACGTTTGTGATGATAAGTCCAATTCTGGACAGGCATACTCGGTCGCAGTAGTTGCAGCTAAACGCCTGACCTGGCCTCGATGGCATAGCATTGCAGTACGTCCTCCTTTACTTCTTGTCCCCGAGAGCGGCCCTGC